AATATGGACTCAGATGGAGGATTGTTCTGAAAACTGATTAGTGGTTGGAGATGTAGAGCATTGTGGTCCCTCAGCTCATTTGCATGTAATTGTTTTAAGACTTAAGAGGATAAAACTCATAAGATGAAAAAGTTACGTATCTGTTTGGAGACTAGGGGATGATTAAATAAGAACTTGATTTCATAGTGGAGATTTGCTGTTTTTAACCTCTTAAGAGAAAGATGATTTTTGAGTACCAGAATGCACTGATTTAAGGCCCTGAAAGTGTATGGGGAAGACAACTGAAGAACTGAGCAGGAGAGAAAAGATTCAGAAGGGGGTGGGAAAGCACCCCCATCACAGCTGTTTGAAGAAATCAGCAATAGGAATATTCAGCTGACAAGAAAGTTTTGGCTTCTAGTTTCTCAGTTGAATCAAGAGTGGAGCTGGTTTGGAAAACAGTTTCAGTTCTGGCTACTGCCCTTTGGTGCCCTTCAACAGGGGAGGTGAAGCTTTTCAGAAGCTTCAGCTATCCTTGCTGCCTTCTCTTGCTGCAGAAGAAAAAACAGGGAGGGAGGAGGAGGAAATGTAGGCTTTGTAGTTGTTTTCTTGCATGGGAGGAAATGCTGAGATGCAACTGGACGATGAAGGTTGTGGTAGGTGACAAACTGACTAGGATCACTGATCAGAGAGTCAAACCTGAGCTATTTTGTTGTGAGTTCTATTTGTTCCAATCTGATTGGATGACACAATATCCTGATGCGTGGATACTTTACAGATATTATCCCATTTTTAAAAATCATCACAGCAACCTGGGAGGTAGGGGCTATTGTTGTTGTTGTTGTTCAGTTGTGTCTGACTCTTTGTGACCCCATTTGGGGTTTTCTTGACAAAGATAATGGAGTGGTTTGGTTTGTCATTTCCTTCTTTTACAGATGAGGAAACTGAGGCAAACAGGGTTAAGTGACTTGCCCAGGGTCACACAGCTAATAAGTGTCTGAGGCCAGGTTTGAACTCAAGAAGACGAGTCTTCCTGACTCCAGGCCTGGCACTTTATCCATTGTGTCCATCTAGTTGTTCCATCGGCTATTATTATCCCCATTTCATAAGCTGGCTTGTTCTTATCTATTGAGTCCAGAGATATTTGGGATATTTGCATTTCTTTGGTTTAAAGGAAACCATTTTCCAACTAAATACTGTAGCATTTTTTCAACACCCTTTTGAGTGTAGTTTTAAGTTGAAAGAGCTTTCGCAACTGCTACATCAGGTCCAGAATGGAATAGGATTTGCCCAGCTGGAGAGCACTAAAGATCAGCAGACTAGAAGTTAGCAAGGAAATGATTTTGTAGGATGTAGATGTTCCTGTATGTAAGACCAGTAACAACCAAGCCAGCAGTCCGGAGTTGGGGATTACCCTGCAAGCATGGGTTTTCCTCCCCCATGTACGTCTGTGACAGATTTCTGTGTATCCACTCTCCCCCATGGATACTGAGTACATTGGTAGAAGAGTGTAATCTAGGCTTATGTATGATTTGTAATGTATTTATCATTCCTACATTTGCTTTAATACATGAGTACTTAAGATGGTATTATTATTTATTTTTGCTAAATAAATGTTGAAGATCTGAAAGTGCCATTATTATGAGTGTCTCATTTGTATAAATGGAATTGAACTGATTGGGGCTGAAGAGCTAAAACACTGAGTTGGGGAAATGTATTTCTTCTCCCCACTTCCCCTCAAAAAAAGAGAGATTAATCTCCTAGGACTGCATGGTGGTTCTTTTGGGGTACCTAGACCTTCTACTATGAGACGTGAGGCCTTCAACATACACCTCATGTAAATGTGACACAAAGTCAAAAATGAAGTCGCTCTTGTCCTCGAAGAGCTTACACATCATTGGGAGTTGTTCTATAATAATATTAACTATCATTAATAGTTCATAATAATACTAATAGGTACTATTTCTTTAGCACTTTAAGGTTTGCAAAGTGCTTTACAAATATCTCATTTTTTTAATCTTCACAACAACCTTCGGATATAGGGGTTAACATTATCTCCATTTTACAGGTAATGAAACTGAGGCAGAGGCCAAGTGACTTTCCCAGAGTCGCAGAACTAGATCTGATTTCAGGTGTTCCTTACTCCAGGTCCAGCATTCTATCCACCATGCCACCTTGATGATCATAGCTCTCAGATTTTCAAGGCACCATAGAGATTACCTAGGTCTACTATGACTGATGCCCAACCCTCTCATTTTGAAATTGATTATTAAGAAAATAACTGGAGAACTGAATATCACCCAATGAGCACCTATAAACCTTTTTTATGAATGAAGCATTTATACTTTGTATATTCCATACCATGAATCACAGAATTGGCAATAAGAAGTAAAGTGTTTTTTTTTAAAGGCTAGAAGTAATGGGGCAGCTAGGTGGCACAGTGGATAGAGCGCTGGCCTTGGATTCAGGAGGACCTGAGTTCGAATCCAGCCTCAGACACATAACAATTACTAGCTGTGTGACCCTGGGCAAGTCACTTAACCCCAGTGCCCCCCCACAAAAAAATAAAGTCTAGAAGTAGCATCATGACACTACTGTGACCCATCAACTCCCATTTGTTGCCAGATTGGGGAAATCACATGTTGTGGAGCTGGGAGTGACCTCTATGGTCATCAATTCTAGTCCAACAGTTGTCAGAATGTGGTCCAGGTCCCCCTAAGGGTGTTCAAGACCCTTCCAGCGGGGTTGTGAGATCAAAATTATTTTTATAACAATACTAAGATATTTTAATTTTTAATATACTAATTTTCAATAGTTATAACTCACATAAACAAAAGCTCCTTAGAGGGTCCTCAATAATATTTAAGAATTTAATGGCACCCTGAGACTCTGAAAACCACCAATCTAGTCCAAACGTTGTTGCATGGGAAAAAAAAATTGAAGCCCAGAGAGGGCAAGTGATCAGATTTCTGCAGAGTTACACAGTTAATAAGCAGCAGAGTCAGAATTCAAGGCCAAATTTTCTATTTCCAAATTGGGTGGTCTTCCCACTTAGCCATGTTTTGGTCCCTATTCGTAGTAGGCCTAAAGAGGTATATCAAAGGAGAATGTTTTGTACAGTTTTGCCTCAATGTCTAAGTCTTATCTTCAGGCAAACATGGACCTACTCTGTTAGTGGACAACCAGTGGACAAACGACGATGTTACCCCTCTGACCCCTCAATCAACTATATAAAGTGGGTCCCAATGCTGTATTCTATCAAAAGGAATTTCACAGCAAGCTCTTTGGAGGACAGGGAGCTTGCCTTCTATTTCTTTGTCCTATATCATAGTGTCTATTACAGCATCACTCACAACAGACATTCATAGAATCATAGATATAGAACGGAAAGTAACCTCAGAGGTTATCCAATCCATTACCTAATTTATAGATGAGGAAACTGAGGGCCACAGAGGTTAAGTGACTTGCCCAATTGCATAGTAATTTACTGAATGATGGCAGAGTCTACCATTGTTATTTTCCAAATTTGTTGAAACGTTTCTAACTTTCTTTCTAGCAATAACAGGACATTAAAACACATGAAAAATGTGAGGCTCACCGTGGTTGTCCCATTTGTTAAAAGCTCAATAATAAGGTAAATTAACAAAGCTGCAGTCCCTATTCCATGGTTTTCTCAGTTAGTGGACCTCCAGTATTACTACAGAACAATGGAAATTAGAAAAGAAAAGCTGATGTGCACAGGGAATTCTGGGTTGCAGATGAACTCAAGTGGTGAATTTGGTCCCCTATTAGGAGCAAACTGAATATGATTTCTATTGTGCCATTTTATTTTCTACTTCCTAAAGTAGAAAAATGGGTATAATTATTGCAAGTTTCCAGTTTCCCATTTAGCTTTTTTTTTTTAAAGGCAAAAGAGGGAACCACCACTAGAATTACAGGACCTGGCTATATTACATACTACCTGTGTGGCCTTAAACAAGTCAGTCAAATCATTTAATATTTCTGGGCCTCAGTTCCTCATCTGTCTCCCCCCTCCAAAAAAAACAACAAAAAACCGAGAAGGTTGGACTTGATGGTCTACAAGATCACTTTCAACCCTAATCTAGGATCCTATGAGCCCTAGATTTTTATTATTCCTCTTAACTCCCTACATTTCTATTATTTGCACTCTAGGTCTTTGGATAAATCACAAATGGTATATTTATATACAATAAATTTCTGAGAAATTGCCTGGAACACCTGTTTTAGTCAATAAAATACAAATGAACCTGTCTAAGTTTTTTGCATATATTTCTGCTAACGTAAGGTCTCAGAAGTGTCTGAGAATCTCTACACATGTCAAATGATGGGAGACAGCCCCATACAATCCAATTACTTTACAAATTTGCAGGATGCACAGGGCATGCCATCTCCCACCTCCTACCGTTGTACAATCTGTCCTGCAAGCCTAACATGCTCCTAGCTACTTCTTTACTCTTTGAACCTCAAGGTCCCTTGGTTCAGATCAAGTGCCATCTCCTTCTTGAGTTTTTTCTTGATTTTTCTATGTAGGTCCACCGGGGGCTATCTCCAGTTGTCCTGATCTATATCTGGCCACTGGATCCAGATGGCTCCAGAGAAGAAAGTGAGGCTGGTGACCTTGCACAGCCCTTCCCCACTTAAAACCAATTCACTTGCATGTCATGGCATCATGATATATTCATGATGTCATGGTCCCCTTCAAGAATGAAGGACAAACAACAACAATTTAGGGCCACCACCCTCTTCCCCTCAGTCGCTTTGTATTTACTTTGTACATGTTCTGAATGACTTATATGTGAACACATTGAATCCCCACAGCAGAACTGAGGCCCCTTAAAGACAGGAGCTGATTTTGTCTTTGTCTCCACAACGCTTACTCTTGTGCCAGGCACACAGTAGGCTTTCCATAAATGCTTATTGATTGTTTGGTTGAATGATAGAGAACAATTACTTTCCCTGGTCCCCCATAAAGCCCAGAAGTATGTGGCCTTGTACCTTACCTTGTTGCGTTTGGGTCCAAAATAACAATGTCAGCATCAGATCCAACAGCAATTATTCCTTTCTTTGGGTAAAGATTAAAGATTTTAGCGGCATTAGTGCTGGTAACAGCAACAAATCGGTTTTCATCCATTTTGCCACTATACTGTAATGTAATTCAAAAAGAAAAAATATCATTCCAATGAAGAAATATGATGACAATCTCCTATTAACAAAAATATGAGGATTTGAGAGTATTAATATGACTGCCTTTAAGGTTTGCAAAGCATTCTACTTATATTATCTCATTGGATTCTCATAACAACCCTGTGAGGGTGGGTACTATTATTATCATCCCCATTTTACAGGTGAGGAAACTGAGACTGGAAGAGATTAATTGACTTCTCTAGGGTCACATAGTTATTAAATGTCTGAGGTAGGATTCAAACTCAAATCTTCCTGATTGTAGGTCTGGTGTTCTATCTACTGCACCACTTAATCATGTGAATTGTAATGAATATCTTATGCTAGTCTCAGCCTATTTTGGGCTATTTATTGGTCTCAAACAACTGTAACATGATCCAGATAATGGAATACAACAACTACCTTAGGAATCAATCTTTTTTTTAACCTTGGAGCTTATTTAATACAACCCTTTCATTTTACAGGTGAGGAAACTGGGACACAAAGAATCTGCACATAGGCAATGAACCTTGAACTCAGGTCTTCGGGGCTCAAAATCTAGTTTGATTTCTGCTACATCATGAATGCTTCCCTAGGTACAACCATGTGCAAAATTCAAAGGTCTTGAGCTTTCTGAGTCAATGTCCAGGTCTTTTCTCCAGGTGAGTCCTGCTCTGGGTACTCCTTGTGTCATGGATGTTACTCTAAGTTCTTGGCAATTCTGCCAATACAACTCTTCTTGAGTTCAAATCTGACCTCAGACACTGACTAGCTATGTGACTCTGGATAAGTCACTTAACCCTGTTTGCCTCAGTTCTTCATCTGTAACATGAGCTGGAGAAGGAAATGACAAGCAACTCCAGTATCAAGCTGGAAAAGTTCCACATGTGGGCCCAGAAACAAACTTCACACCTGGAATTTGAAGATCAATCAGCCAAGCTAAGCCCAGAGAGACTCATTCATCAGATTAATTGTAGATTGATGAATGTTTTGACCATGGGAAAAAAAATCAGAACAACAATAACAATAACAACAACCCTGTCTGCTATGGCATTTGGGGTTGGGATCCAAGATGGCTTGATGAGTGCCCACACTGATGAATCCTATGTCTTTGGTATATAAGGAGTATCACCTTGGGAAAAAAAAATAATCTAACTGTCTCCCACATTTACCAAAATCATAGTGAAGCTGCATCTGTAGTCAGCTAAGCATGAGTAATGACATCAATAGTCCCTGTCTGGCAATATTTTGCATTTTTATTGAAGTGATCATTTCCTTGTAATTCAATGAATGAGGATGGCTGAAATCCTCTTTCCTCTGATTAAAAAAATATATTATTTCTCCATGACTCATGTTTCAGGAAGGCCCAGCCTTTTTCTCACAAGCCCAATATCTATAAGGCCAAAGTATAGTCAGGGTTCAGTAAGAGGGACAATTCATCAATCTGTGGAAAAGACCAGAAAAAGAGGCTGAGATGGAGATGTGCCATCTTCTGTGAGAGAAGTTCTTGAAAAAGCCACAAACCACAGTTAGGCTTCCTTGCCTGCTAGAGACCTCAGACATCATTCACGCTACAAGGTGACCTAGGGGAACGGTCCTGATGGGAATGAGGTCATCCTCTGGGTGTTATCAAGGGACTGCCAGACTAAACTGCTATCAATGAAAAATCATCTGTACATAGGAATTATGACACATAATTAAAGTTGGTGATCATGAAAAAGGGTGATGTTGTGATGCCAAAAGCAAAGAAAAGGGTAGCAGCCCTCACAAAATTGAAGTGGGGCAGTGAAGGAGGAAGAGAGAACACTTGTAAGTTACTCTCCTGGTCAAGAACTGAAGGGGTTTTGAAGGAGGAAATAAGCATTTATTAAGTGCTTGTTATGTGCCAGGCACCACTCTTTACAAATATTTCATTTGATAACCACAACAACTCTCAGGGGTAGGTGTAATTATTATCCCTGTTTTACCACTGAGGAAACTGAGGCAAAGAGAGGTTAAGTGACTTGTCTAAGGTCACACAGGTAGTAAGTGTCTGAGCCTAGATTTGAATTCGGGATCTTCCTGATTCCAAGCCCAGTGTTCTAGCCACTTCACCACCTATCTGCCTCCTTGGCTAATGGCCATAGAAAATCCAACTTACTAGAAAATCATGTCTGTCCCCTCCCCTCATTATAATTTTTCTAAAGTGGAAAACTTCTCATTGTGTGTAGAGTACACTTACGTAGACATGGCTTAAATTGTTCCCATTTCGTTGGCAACACTACAAGTATAAGGCCACTAGGAGATGAAATACATAGGTAGCTGGATTTGGAATCAGAAAGACCTGACTTTGAATCCTTTGTGAATTGGTTTTTGTTGTTTTTAAATCTCTGGAATGAGCCATTATAGGCTCGTGCTCTTAGGTTGGTTTTATCACTTATATGTGTCTGCAGACAATAATTTTTAAACTGCAATTCACAGCGTCCATGAACCCCACAGGCCATCACCATGGATTTCCTGAAGAGTGTTGTTGTGAAGAATGCCTCCTTTAAGTCTTCTTTTGTCATTTCATGTCCCTATTCCAATGATACATTAGGATTTAAGGGTCTGAAAACCAAGGCTGAAAGGGCCTATAACCTTAAAGACTTTGAACATACTTAGCATCATCTGCTCTGTAATTATCTTAATTACTTCTAACAGCTCTGCAAGATGAAGCACTAGTCCCCAAGCTGTGCAAAAGAGAAAGCCGTACCCTGGCTTTCACTATAATAGAGGGAGCTAATTTTCATACCCCTGTAGAAACCAGTAGAGGACTTTTCTGGGAAGGCTTAATCTACCCTGCTCTCTGAGCTACAGGCTCAGGACTACAGGACAGGGGCTGCCTGGGCATGATCTCATGAAACTTACCACACCCTTTTCCCATAGGACTGACATTCGATCCTCAACTCCATTGATCCCATTAGGGATCTTGGTAAAATCATCCTTCCCAAGGGCTTTCTGGCAGGTGTTGAAAGTGCAGTGGTCTGTCCCGGTGGTGGTGAGATCGTTACTGTAAAGAGAAAGACATGGGAATGAGGAAGCATAGAAAGTAGGTCTTTCAAGGGATGTGTCCCAACGACCCTTCCCTCCTCCTGAGCCATTTTGACAATAACCAAACTGGGAATGCTTGGCTTCACCAAGAACGTAGCTACCCATCTTTTAGTTCTGAATTTTGTCTTTTCCTTTTGCATGTCACCATTTTAGAAAGTCCTGTTGGGGGAAGCACGATGCAATAGAAAGAAGACTGGGCTTGGAATTAGAATCCCTGCACTCTTGCCTCACCTGGGTCCATTTTCAGTTGTATGATTTTGGGAAACTCATATAAACTCTCTCCATCTTAGCTTGTTCATATGGAAACTGGGCATAGTAATATCAGTTTTGTAAACTTTATGGGATCAGTGCCTTCCAGTTCTCAAATTCGATGAGTCTCTTTCTTCCTTTAAGAATAATGCTCAAAGGGGCAGCTAGGTGGCGCAGTGGATAGAGCTCCGACTTTGGATTCAGGAGGACCCGAGTTCAAATCTGACCTCAGACACTTGACACTTAATAGCTGTGTGACCCTGGGCAAGTCACTTAACCCCGTTTGCCTCATGAAAAAGCAAAAAAAAAAAAAAATAATGCTCAAGTATTATCTTCTGTATGTAGACTTTCTGAATTCCCCCAACAACCAGTGCTCTCCCTACAAAACTACCTTGTATCTAAAGTCTTTGCACATACCTGTATTCATTCTCTTTGTATTTATTCTGTATATACTTAGATGTATTCTTGTTGATCAAGCTAGATAATATTTGTAAAGTGCTTAGGCTGGTGCATAGTAGGCATCTAACAAATGCTTGTTTTCTTTACTTTTCCCTTTTCTGTTGTCTCTTCTACTGGAATGGAGGCTTCTTTCAAATAGAGATTGTTTCATTCTTTCTACATATATCCCCAGTGTCTAGTATGGTGCCTAGCACATAGTAAACTCTTAATAAATACTAATTGATTGGTTGATAGATTGTGGTAAGAATGAATTGAAAAAAATCTGTTCAAAAGCCCTTGGGAAACTATAAAGATCTAGATTTGCATTATTAGAAATGAAATGAAAAATTTCATTAGAAATGAAAAATTCAAACACATTTTGACAATAAAATACCACAAAGAGCTTTTAGCCAAGGGGTTCTTCATCTGTTATGTATGTATCATGGTCCCCTTTGATTGTCCAGTAAAATCTAGGGAATCCTTCTCAGGATAATGTTTTTTTAAATAATTGAAGGAAATGCTAATTGTCAAAGATTTAGCAAAAATAAAGATAAATTTTTTTTCCCCAGCCAAGTTCACAAACCCCTTGCAAGGGATCTTTGGACCTCAGGTTAAATTATCCCTCTGCCTAGGGGATAATTAAAAGGGATATGGAAACGAAATTAAAAAGTGGTAAGTCATTAATAGATCCTTTGATTTCTTAATTCAGAGGGGGTGTGAATACATGTGAATACATCAGTTTGAGAATTCTAATAGGAGGTCTTCCCTAGCCAGGTTGATTTTCCAAACACCATAAAGACAGGTAAAACAGATGAAACCTGGTTGATTCAAGGGAGAGAAGTAAAAATGTCTGAACTATTGAAGTTGGAAAACATAAGACACCTTCCAAACCGCACCTGGTGGACTAACTAAGAATCTGTATAGAACTTACATAAGGGAAGGGAATAAACATTTTATTAAATATTATTCTATGCCAATCACTGTGCTAAACACTTTACAAATACTATCTCATTTGATTCTGACAACAACCCTGGGAGGTAAGTGCCATTATTTATTCCCATTTTACTATTGAAGAAACTGAGGCAGACAGAGGCAAAGTGACTTGCCCAGGATCACACAGCTAATAAGTGTCTAAGGTCAGATTTTAACTCAGGTGTTCTTAGCTCCAGGGCCAGTGCTCTATCCACTGTACCATCTATCTGCCTTTTATGAGCCTGTAGAATGTAAGATCTTTGAAGAAGAATGTTTAATTTTTTGTTGTAGAACATAGTAGGTGCTTGAATACTTATGGAATTGAATTGAATATGATCATAGGATTTAGAGCTGGAAGGAGCATTAGAGATGTAGTCCAGTCTCCTCATTTTGTTGCTGAGGAAATTGAAATGCAGAGAGGTTAAGACATTTGGCCAAGGTCAGAAAGGTAATTAATAGAACGGCAAGGATAGAATATGAACTCAGTCCTTCTGACTCCAAATCTTTCCTATTCCATCCCACTGTCTCCGCTACACCACTTCACATGGGCACAGCATTCATGACCTCTGATGAATGATTACTTAGCCAGTAGATTCATAAGGAAATCAGGAGTTGAAGGATCTGGTCTTAGCGGGGGTCCCATGACATGGTGGGCAGCATGATGCCATTCTTCATGCCAATAGTGAGTCCCATCCGTTCCAAGACTAGCAGCAATCGGCTCCCCAAAGACCACCTTTCCTGTAAAGTACAAACGCAAGCATTAATGAGCAGTTTTATTAGGATGTAGATGTAGGGAATGCTATTCTTCTTTCCCCTTGAGGAAAAAAAGGGAGGGAGGGGACTAAAGTCCATGTATGCGTATGTCTGCTGCCTTTAACTGCATCTGAGGAGGTACACTTCATAGCACGGGAGATATGGAATTCTAATGAGTGACATCTTGGTTGTAAATGTTATTTACTCTTTTTCAGACAGGTCCTCTCTGGAGAAGAAGAGTTTCCTTTAAAACATAAGCAGTTAACAATAACAATGGCTAAACCATTCAACATTAACAAAAATATCATCCATTGATAATAAGATCCTAACTAGGGACACATACTCAAACAGAGATTTGTGTCACACACAGATTTATATGAGAATTTTAGAAATGGAAGGGACCTCAGAGTCCAGCCCATACCTGCAAGGCATCTGAAAGGAATAATACAGCAGGCAGGTGGTCACCCAGCCCCTACTTGCAGGGGAGGGGAAACTCACCACTTCCTGAGGCATGCTATGTCCATTTTTGACACTTCTTATTGTAAAGGGCAACTAGGTGATTCAGTGGATAGAGAACCAGGCCTGGAGTCAGGAAGACTCCTCTTGAATTCAAATCTGGCCAAGGACACTTGCTAGCTGTGTGACCCTGGGCAAGTCACTTAACCTGTTTGTCTTTCAGTTCCTCATCTGTAAAATAAGCTGGAGAAGGAAATAGCAAACCAACCACTACAGTATCTCTGCCGAGAAAACCTCAAATGGGGTCAGGAAGAGTCAGATATGACTGGAAAACAACAGAACGATAACAATTGTAAAGAAGTTTTCCCTGGCATTCAATCTAAACCCCTTTCTCTACAACTTCCATCTATTTCTCTTGCCTTAGCCTTCTGTGGCCAAACAGAACAAGTTTAAATCCCCTCTTCCATGTGCTAGCTCTTGCGATATATGAATATAACTATGTCCCCTTTAGGTTTTCTCTTCACCAGGCTAAACATCTTCAGTGCCTTTAACCTGTCTTCTGATGACATTGACTCAACGCCCTTCACTGTCCTGGTAGCTCTCCTCTGGATACTATCCATCTAATCAATGACCTTAAGTTGTGGTGCCCAGAATGGAAAACAGTATTCCAGATGTAGTCCATTACAGCAGGACCCTGCAAGCTAACCAGATAGTGTGGCATGGAAAAAAAAAAGCAACTCTGTAGTTAGGGGCCCTGAGTTCAAATCCTACCTCTAATGCTTACTGTGTGACCAACCCATAGGCAAGTCCCTTAACTTCCCCGGTCTTAATAATAGCTAGCATTTATAGAGTACATTAACGTTTACAAAGTGCTTTCCAAATATTATTTCATTTCATCTTCATAATAACCCTGGGAGGTAGGTGCTATTATCATGCCCATTTTACAAATAAAGAAACGGAGACTGCCAGAAGTTATGACTTGTCTGGGGTCACTCAGTGTCTACGGCAGGATTTGAACTCAGGTTTACCTGATTCCAGGTCCAGTGCTCTATCCACTATGCCACATAGCTCACCTTCAGATTCTTCATCTGCAAAAGGAGGGTGTTGGACTAGATGGACTCTGAGGGCCTTTCTAGTTACCCTCCTTATTCTGCTTCTCTTATGGAAGCCAAGATTGCATTAGATTTTTGACCATATGATATTATTGACTTACATTGAGCTTACAGTCCACTAAAAGCCCCAGATCTTTTTCAGACAAACTTCTGAGAGCACATAGAATGAAAGCTTATCAAAGACATAAAAGTATAGGTACAAAGCAAACTTTTATTTGGAATGCAGATCCTATTTCTGGTTATCATTCATGGTTATCCACTGGATGAGGGGTTAATAAACTACCACTGTGGACAAAGCTGGCCCTCTTCCTGTTTTTGTATGGTCCTCTAACTTAGATTTTCTTTTTATATTTTTAAATAGTTTGCTTACCCTTGCACTAAATCCTCCAAGCAGAAGTAGAGTCAGGATAATTTCCTATAGGAAGACACTGGCTTGGCCAAATTAGTCCATTTGGTTTACTCAAATGCCTATTTTAACTGAGTCAATGAAATCTATGATTTTATCAGTACAGAGAACTACTGGTATAAGAACCCCTCCACCAATGCACCATGGTAAGCTCTCCATAACGTATTAGATAAGTCCAAGGAAGTTGCCTGAAAGTCAGAGAAATCAAATTACTTTAATAATAAATGTTAATTAATTGCTATTAATAACTATTTATTGACTGAAATGACTTGCCCATGTACAAGCTATTAAGTATCACAGGCAGGATTTGGACTCAGGTTTTCCTGATGCCAAGCTCTGTATTCTATCCACTACATCAAATTGTCTGTTGGTTAATAGTAGCTAGCCAGAGTTCCTAGATAACTGAAGTAAATGTTGCATTCTGGAGAGGACTGAAAGCAGATGGCTTCCAGCTGTCAAAATTGTTACTCATCTATGACAAATTCTTTTATGCCTTTGGGTCTGTTTTCTGTTCCATGCAAAGAAAATGATACCATTGACATCCTCCGTACTGTGTCTCAAAGGAGGAGGGTCACCAGGAGGGTAAGGAGACTGGAAATCATATTATCTCTGAGGTCTCTTCAAACTCTGTGATTCAGTGGTCTTTCTCTGGCTAGTTGAAGGAGTAGTCACCATTTTAAAAAGTAGGTATTGTTGTTTTTAAGTCATTCTAAACTGTCCATCTAGCTAATATCTGTAAATTCTGGATATAACCATCCTACTTCTTCCTCCCTGCCCCTAGAACTGAACACTGTCTTATAATATAGAAAAACAGTAAAGCAAAAAAAAAAAAAAAAACAGTGTACAGTGACCACGTCTGACTATACATACAACATTCTGCCCCTACAGTCACTTAGGAGTCTTAATTTTTAACCCAAACTAAGGAGGAAGGTGCTACCAACTTCATAGAATCATTTAGTTAACAAGCATTTCTTAAGCACTTACTACATGCCAGACTTTATGCTAAAAACTGGGGAAGTCAAAGAAAAGTGAAAAAACAAAAACAAACAAACAAAAAAAACCCAAAACAAAACAAAAAAAAGTAAACAAAAAACTCCAGTCCCTTCTCTCAAGGTGTGTAGTGGGAAAGAAAACATGTAAATATGGAGGTACATACTATATATAGAGTATGTGAAGGTAATCTGAAAGAGGAAGGCTTTAGTAGCTGAAAGAGCTAAGGCTTCCTACAGAAGGTAAGATGTGAATTGAGTCTCAAAAGAAGACAGAGAAGCTAAGAGTCAAGGAGGGGACAGAGAGCATTCTGGGCATGGGGGACAGCTAGTTCAAGAAATGAAGATGAGAGATAGGCTTCTTTTTCCAGAAGTGCAAATAGGTCAATGTAGTTGGATTGTACAGTGTCTGGAGAAGAGAAAGACATAAGAAAGCTGGAAATATAGGAAGGGGCTGGGTTATAAAGAATTTTAAATGCCAAACAGAGGAGTTTTATGTTTGATCATAGAGGTAAGAGGAAATCATTGGAGCTCTTTGAGCAGGTGGAAAATGTGATCCTATTGAGACTTTAGAACCTTGAGACCTGGGTAGAAGAGGATGGATTGAAATGGATAGAGTTGGGGCAAGGAGACCAATTAAAAGGTAATTCTTGCGGTAGTCCAGGTGAGGATTAGTGGAGGTCTGAATTAGGGTTGGGGCTGTATGAGTGGACAGAAGGGGATATACATGAGATATCATAAGAGTAGATATGACAAGATTTTCCAGTGGGTTATATATGTGGGGTGAGTGAGAGGAGTCCGGGATGACACTGGGGTTGTGGACTTTAGGTGGATAGAAAGATTGTAGTGCTCTCAACAGTGATAGGAAAGTTAGGTAGAAGGAAGGGTTTTGGGGAAAGATATTGAATTTTGTTTTGGACATGTTTAGTTTAAGATGTTGATGTCCAGTAGGCAGTTAGACATGTGATATTAGAAGTCAGGGCTGGATAAATAGATTTGAGAATCATCTGCTTAGAGAAGATAATTGAATTCTTGGAAACTAATGAGATTAAGCAAAACAGTACAAAAAGAGAATAGTGCATTGGACAGAGGCTTGGGAAACACTCACAGGTATTAGGTACAACCTAGATGAAGATCTAGCAAAGGAGATTGAGAAGTAGCAGTCAGACAGGAGAACCAGGAGAAAGCAGTGTCATGAAAACCTAGAGAGAAGAGAGTATCAAGGAGAAAAAGGGTGATCAACAGTGTCAAAGGTTGCATGGAAGTCAAGAACGACTGAGAAAAGGCCATTAGATCTGGCAGTTAAGAGATCATTGGTAACTTTGGAGAGGCAGTTTTAATTGAGTGGTGAAGTCGGAAGACAGAATACAGAAATTTTATAAGAGAGTGAGAGGAAAGAAAGTGGAGTCATTGATTGTAGATGACTTTTTCAAGAAATTTAGCCTTGAAAAGGAGGAGATAAATGACAAACAGCTAAGAGGGTTGGTTAGATGAAGTGAGGGTATTTTTTAAAGATGAAGGAGACATGGGAGTGTTTGTAGGCAGCAAAGAATTATCCAGTAGATAGAGACTGAAGATAAGAGAGAATGTGGGAAGGATAGTTTTGGCAATTTTCTGGAGAAGACTGAGTGGCATAGGATCATTCATGAATGTAGAGGAGTTTGTCATGGCAAGGAGAAAAGCCACCTCTTCATCAGAGACTAGAAGGAAGGAGGACATAGTAGAGGGAACGGAGTGATACGAAATGAGGAGGGGAAGGAAAGAGGGAGTTTTTTGTAAATGTCAGTTTTTAGTGAACTATGAGATAAGGTTATTGGTGGAGAGGATGAGAGAGGAAGATGAGGAAAAACTCAATTTGGAACCATGACTGTGAAAAATTGGCTATTGAATCAAATAGAGAGGAATAGAATGTTTTTTCTAACTTCATAGAAGGTAAAAGGACCATTATGTTTTACTCAGATATAAGGAACATACTTGCACAGGAAAAAATGTAATGGATACAGAAGAATCACCCTGATGTGT